GTTGCTATCGTGTTCACCCAAGTTGTTCACATTTATTTCTTTTTCTTTCTATTCACAACGGCATTCATTCCAACCAGAATGACTCAAGTGAATTCGGTTAACATTATGCCAACTATCGACTTATCATTAATAATCTTGACCTTTTCAAGGATTTTAGGTATGAAGCTTGTAGATTACAGTAGATTACAGAGTAGATTAGATGTCAATTTGGAATTTCCAGACTATGGAGAAGGCGAATCCACCGAAATGTCAGCTTTTCCGTATTGATAACATCTGTAATGCTATTGTAATATTTGGCCATCAAGAAAACCAGTGAATTCGGATTTCAAATAGTTTGGATGATCGTCGATGGGGTCATAACGAATGGTCTAATCGGCTAATTGCTACAGCCAGGAAATGAAGAAATTAGAAAAGAAAGAAGGGCGACTCCAGTTGCGATCATTTGCTGAAAAAAATTTAACTGTTCGTGTCAACTGGAAATGAGCGGCATAAAGATACGAGGAAGATATCTCGATTAAGACTTTACGCACAACCGTATTATTCAACGAAAATTAGTGGAGTAACTATGCCGGAGATATGGTGGCCACTATTATCATTGGCATACCACAGAACTCAATGGCAACCTTGCACAAGCTATGACAGCCACGCGTACAGGACTGGTCATTCATTCGCACAGCAAGATGAATTCTCTTGAAGATGACCATCAAAAATATTCGTCGCGTTGCTTGGCTTCTGGATAGCCATATTACACGAAAAAAAACCGTAACCATATTAGTGAAGTGCAGTGGAAAAGTGCGATAAAAGCAGCAGCTATTCAGCTTTCGTTGGAGGTTGAAGGTGCAGCTGCGACACACACGTAGAATTGATACTAGCGCCCATGGCTCACCAAGCCTTCCATCCATCCAAGGTCGGAAAATTGGTACCAGACTTGTCTAGGAGGATAGCAGTACTCGTTCGATACATCGGTAGGCCACCGTGAGTAATTGTAAAGGCCAGATATGCATTCAACAGCCTCCAACAATGCTTATTTATCCATACGTTAGAATAGTCTTGCACATCGATGTTTCTGATTCCTGCACAAGGATCTTAACAGTGGCTTTAAAAGCATCATCGTTGTGAATTTGTGCCCTCTTTGCTCTTAGAGCATGTCGAATTTTAATTTTCCCATATAAATGTTATTTTATACGGACACAAAGCAGCCCTATCACTTCTCCATTTATTCTTTACCTTATGGCTCAGTGGTTAAAGACACTCTGCAATACACGTGGGATAGACCCCTTGTTCCAGGCACAGCTAGCCATCCTTCTCACCGGAGTCTGAAAATTGGTGCCGGATTACGCGATTAATTTTATGTAGTCTAATAGCCTATTCACTCTTTGAAAGCATTTTTCCATTTTTCTTTGTGTGGAACAGACGATAAAACAATAGTCTGTATATCAACAGCGGAGTAAGGATCGGCGATCAAAAACTGGAGTTCCCCCATTATACATGAAAACGAAGCAAGCATTTGTGCTAATTGCCGCTTCATTGGCAACGCTACGATCTGTACAAAATATCTTCTCGACCACCTAAAGATTGAACAACCAAGACACCGTTTTAAGAGACTCATTAGCTTTTGATTCAGTAAGCCTTAAATATTTATTCTCTCGTCATGTTCCACGAGAAGCACGAGATTGGCATCCATTGTGGATTCGTTTGGCACATTACCATAAAGTAACGTAACATCTAATGAATCGGTTACATGCGTGCGGTTTGGTTGCGCACACCACAGATGAACCAGGAATATTTTGGCATTATGTAGATGAGCTGGTTTAGCAGCCGCTAGTGAAAACTAGGTCTTCGAGTCAGTTCCTGGCACCTTATGATCACTAGATTTGAGTAGGATGCTCGACTTCGTAGAAGTTGCCACGCAGAACTTTTTCGTAATTGTCGCAGAGCAAGATCTCAAACTTTGGTAATTAAACAATTTATAACAATAACAATTCAAGAGTAACGAAATACAAACATTGGTACAATACAGACTGCAATATTAACCTTTTTATTTACTGCCTATTCTTTTTAACGGCAGAGTACTCAGCTGAGAGACGGGCGAAACGAAGGATCCACATGGTGCGGTGGTGAATGCGTTACTCCCCAAAAAGAACAACAGGGCGTTAGTTCCCCACCGCAGACACCTGCGGTCCGGAGTTTTGCAAATATCTCAGCATTACAGTAGTTATACTTCACAGACTGCAATGTAGTATCATGATCAATAAGTGAAGGTAAAACAGTTTATTATCTTTGCTATAGGCTAGTGAAACAGCGCCATGTGCATTTAGAATATATTAATAATGTCACAAGACTTAGGCACATTAAGGGATTCATATAAGGCTGCAATACCTGACTCCCAAACAACAATACTATAGCGTCGCACTGTATGCAGGCATCTAATGTCGTTCTGTTGAGGTTAACACGTTAAAGGCAACATGTAAGCTTGTGATAACATTGCGGTGAGGTTATCTGTTAACTTGTAAGTACATGGCGAGTACGTTAACGTATTAGAGAATACATGTAAACGTATGAGTATATTGCGATGAGGTTAACGTGAACACACAATAGAGCTAGCGTGTTTGGAGGAACTTGACAGCAAATTTAATATACAACAGTGACCACGTATCAGTGCATTCGAATGATGTTTTCAGATGACAAATGTATGTATATGCATAATAACAGTGTGAAATAAACGTAATAATGATTTTAACATACGCATACATATCACAACATACCTTCCAACGGTTTACCGCCTCATCATGGCTGGAAGGTGTTCCTAGGTGTCGGATTGCAATGTGCAGCGAGGGGATTCAAGCCCTGGCAGAGTCTCCCAAGCTGAGAAGGAATCCGGCGTTTTCATCAGGAAGTCTAGTTAAGAGTAAACCAATACTAGGATCCACCACCGTCCTGGTATCAAAGTCGCATGGTGGTAAATCTCCCGACCCACTAGGGCTGCGACTGCCTGTCGTGGTGAGGACATGGGGCAGACGTTGGCCGGGCTGACCTCGGGACACCAGGGAACCATAATGGCTAAATCAGAAAATCTTCGGAAAAATGGAGGTTATGCTGGAGCGCGCATAATCAGTGAGGGCGGGTCATCCAAGTATCCAAGTACACACGTCATAACAATAACCGTGGTCAATGCGTAAGGATATTATTTGGAGAGCAGAATTACACTGCCGCTTAATGATAAGAAGAAAGAGTTGATGGATCAAGAGTAGGATCCCGTATATTGTTCCCGGAGAATGCGGGAATCCATACAGTTGCGAGAACCCCTTGGCGGGCGTAGGTCAAATTGAACTGCTTACTATCGACCTACACTACTCGACAGAATATCCAGTCCGACTTGAAAGGATAAAATACTAAGGAGCTTTGTCGATATAACAACTGTAAATGATGCACAAAACTAAATGTAAATGTGGAAACTCGTTTAAGAATAACGCTGCGGAGACGTCGTCTATCTAGCAACACTCCGTGACAAATCATTTTCGTGTAAACCTACTTATTGAAAAATGAATCGTCCTATTTGTACATACTTATTACCAAATAGAGCCTAAACGTTTAACCGACTCTCACCATCTTGCTTGTGTGCAGCGGCACTTTCATCTAGTAGCAGCATTCTTCCACATACAAACATGAGGCCCACAAATAATTGATGCAAAGCAGGAAAGCTCTTCAAAGAACTCTCCGTTCTCGTAAACGATGAAGTCCTGATGGTTTACCATTCTTTTCGAAATGTGCCAGGCATTCTACTTCATCAAGTATCGTAAAAGTAATGCATATCTGAGCCCTGTAGTGACTCACGGCGGCATTATATCGGTGTATTATATTGATGTTTGTATCCTCCTAGAGAATTCTGGTATTAATATGCCGAGTGAGGGGCGTAGAAAGCTTGGTGAATCCGAAGAGCACGCTTGAGCCAACGATCCGTCCTGGGAAAAGATCCCAGATGATACACGAGGTTACTATCAGAGTTGTACTAACAGAAAAAAATAACACGTTATTAAATAACTTCATAGTCCGTTTAATTTCAGAGGACGAATACTTCAACTACGTCACCATCGACAACTTCGGATCCAAGCAAATAATTCTGTCCACCGCACAGACTCTTCACCGATGCTGTCTTTCACAATAAGATTCAGCTGATTTGAAGTGAATGGATCGAAGCAGTTCATCGATGAAGAGCTAGTATCAATCGGCGGCGTCTTTCTATATAAGTTTAACAAGCTGAAAATGAGTCCGCCGTACCCATCAGGGAACTCAGCTAAACCAATATTCGAAGGATCCAACACCATCCTGGTATCAAACTAGTCGTATAGTGGAAAACTTCCCCCTGATTTACAAGGACTGCGACTCCTTTTGGTGGTGACAACCTGGGACACACTTTGAACTGGCCGACCTCGGCACTCCAGGATGGTTAAACCTGCAAAACTCTGAAACAGTGGAAACTATGCTGTAGCCCGCACAACCAGTGAAGACTAGCCATTGAAATACCCACGTAAGTAATATAATATGATGCTCATCGCAAATACTAAACCAATGTAGTGAAAAAAAAAGAACCAAACGAGAGCGAGGTCATTACTAGCAGAGTAGGAAATTTTCACTTTTAGCACCCACATACTAGACGATAATCCTAAAAAGATCGAATCAAATTGAACGACAACTGTCACAAGTAAAAAACATTAACAAAGGAGGACCAACGAAATCGACTGAGAAATCTACACTGGGCTTCGAAATGAGCGAGGAAAAAAACGTGAAAAGATAGATTAGACTCGACAAAATAACTTTCGCAACTGCTCAGATCCATTCATAATGCAAATTTAAAAAAAAGTTTAAGAGCATGATACCTATGTGTCCGCCTTAAAGGAAATGGTCACATTTGCACACGGTTCCTTGACAACGTACAAATAGGACTAGTCTGTTAACATACACAGCAAAATTCAGAAACATTAAAAACACTAAATACGAGTTTAGAATTCCACTGAAACACGGACACTGTCTTGATTGAAGAGTCTTGACTTATGGTAATCCAAAACAGTCTTCTTTTTCTGAAGCAGCTCGTATGGCAATGTCCCCGCCTTCTCCATTCTTCGCCATTGAAAGCGATTGACCGGGTGATCGGCTCCTTTCCACATTCTCAAAATTAAAAATAAAAAACGAATATAATTCTGTTCTTGCGAAAGATTTAACACTATTCGGATATTGCCCTTCTCAAGTGCTTCCGCTGCGCAGTCAATGGCATCTTATTGCATGTCTTCGGGCAAATCGGTATCCTTAATCACCACCTTACGATCAGTCACTTTCCTTTGATTTTTGGTTTAATCACAGCATACTGACTACGCAACGCAGGTTCTTGAGAAGTGCAATAGTGAGAAGGATATTACTGCGTAAAGCGGATGTGGCGCAGCGGTCAGAGGCGCCCTGCAATACGCTCGTGATCTATCCCACCGTCCAAGGCTAACCACACCCTCCAACCCGCTGAGGTCGGTATATCGTTACCAGACTTGTCCGGGAGGATAATAGCACTAGTCCGCTACATCGGTGAGCCACCGCGAGTCATTGTAAAGGCCAGATATGCATTAAATCGCTTCCAAACGACGTTTAATGAATAATGATATTACTTCAAGACATTCACATACACAGATTCGAAAATAAGTTTTATACGAAAAAAAAAACATCCTCTTAACGAGACTGGAGAGTTGGACCCAGGTTTCCTCTGTTTTTGCAACCGAATAAGTGATAACCAGTCTTAATAGTGGTGACTCAATTTTAGCTTATCATTCACAAGGAACTAGAACACCGCGAAAAATTAACAAAAAACCAACTTACTAACAAAATGCCACCTTTCTACCTATTTTGAGACCATTGTCGGAGTATAAATCTATCAGCGCACTTTATGTAAAGTTTTAGCATCAGAAAGATTAATTACGACAATTACTGCATACCAGAAACCTGTAGATAACACTCCCTTACACTGCTCTAAGACTATACACAAATTTTAAATGGAGCAAAAAGGGACCCAAATGATTATATTCCTTAAAATATATCATATCTGTGTAATCCCCAGAAAATCAACGATCTCAAAATGCTGCTATTACTAATGAATCTTCTTTCCATTCCATTCTTTAGTACGTTTCAAAAATTTGGTGTTCGACGAATTTCTACAACAGCTCGACAAAACTCAGTGTAATACAACCATTGGCATAGGAAACTGGAAACCGTTAATAAAAGCCTACAACGGACTTGCTGAGTTGATACTTGACTTAAAGGTTCCTAAAAAAAAAGTTGACCAACTTGCCGACCTTGGAGGAATGGAGGGCTTGGTAAGTCTGGGGCGCGGGAATAGATCCCGTATGTATGGCAGTGTGCCTCCAAACACCGCGCAATTCGCGAACTGGTGATAATCCAACAATATCGAGAAATTCTGGTACAATACACAGTGCATTCGAATGATGTTTTCAGATGACAAATGGCAAAAATCTAACCTCAAGTTTTCCTAGTTTCTGGTTTTCATACGTTGGATCTTATTTCTTAACAACAGGATATACTAGGAGAGGATGTAACAATATAATGCCTTTGAAAAGCTACCGAATGTGTCAGGAGATCAAAATAACCCAGACGGATACTTATGTAAACGTAAAATTAAAGCTCAGATCCTTGAAGACCAGTGGAAACGATGGCTGATAGACGTATGATAGAAAATGATAAAATTTTTGGCATTGCCATGATGTGTGAACACGAGTCATCTAACTATACACGCATAACAATGCTCATGAAAAAACTGTACAAACTTATGTACTTACCGGACACCAATGTTGTAAACTGCTATCCAAAGAACAGTGACAAATGCTGCAGCAGGTACAGTACGTCGAAACGGTAAGCTCACAATGTAACGCAGTCTAAAACACCGCAGCACAATAAGACCGTACAAGAATCAAGGGATGCTCAAAATATGTTAAAGTCACAAATTTCAGTTCTTATTTTTTTTCTTAAAAATGCATAAGGTTACTGAACTAAGGACGCACTACAACGGTTCGCGGGCTCTATTAATTCACGACACTGAACCACTTCGGCAAATAATCGCCAATTTAAAATTAGATATACCATAAATACATCGATGTATGCACGTGTTAGCTATATTAAGAGCTACTCCGCTATACAATAAGGGCTCGTCTAGCGTGGACCTCAGAGGTACCCTGCAATGCACATGGGATCCATCCCCGCACCGTACGCTCACCAGACCTTCCATCCTTGAGAGATCGGCAACTTGGTACACTTGTATAGAAGGATAGCAGCATTGGCTCGCAGGCCACCGCGAGTCATTGCAAAGGCCAGAAATGCATTCATTCATCTCCAACGATGCTTAATGAAGTCAAATGCATGGCGCGTTCCTCATGAATTGATCAACACCGAGCGCTTCATCTTTCTTATACAGCTCTTAACCTATAATGAACGACACAATGGTACATGACACAAATTGTCATGAGTAAAGAACATGGTATGCAGTGAAGAAGACTATAAAATATTACACGGTCTGATATAACGTAAACTCGAGATGGGTACATGCGGATTCGTCTATGGTCCAACAGCAGGTCGCATGTACAACATAAATGAAAGATGAAACAAACCCGTAAGACAATACACGACCCGACATCACACGTTGGACGGATCCCAAAGCTTCATACGTCTGATTCGATTCCTCGCTTCTAACATCCACAAAGATCTTCTGATTCGTCTATATGTTCGGCTGTTCCTTCAGGATTTCAGCCTCCTTTATTAATGTTGAACCTATACTTCCTGGAGTCCCAGGACAACCGTGCTAAGGCGTTCCAGACTTTAATCACAGGAGGGCATCATTATTTGTTGATTTGAGGGAATGAGTTCAACTAGGGTAGTCTGGCACTAATTTCCCGAAACCCAAAGGGATGGAAGCTTGAAGAGCACAAGGCAAGGTCAAGTCGGCGCCTTGCTTCTATTGAAAGGAATCACCACCGATGTCGGCGTCGAGAAAAAGAAATCAAATTGCTGGATTTCGAGATATGAAACGAAACCTTTCGAGATCCCGATGAAAGATTACGTCGAATACCAGGTGAAAGAAATCTTCGATTCCATGTAGATATGAAAAAATTAAAACGCTTTTGACAATCTGATAGAAGCAACAAATTAAAGTGCTAACCGGTCAGGAACCCGCTCCTAATTCACAAAACGTTGGGTCGAATGGTCAGATATTAATCAATAGGAACCGCTCTACAAAACAAATTTGGTTGCAGATATGTGAAAACTAGGAATAAAATAACATCAGCTTCCGCAACAAAAGTTTTTTCCCTAGCACTGCAAAAGTTTGACTTCTCTTTTCCCATTTCATAAGATGGCACATATAAAAAAAGATAGATATTGCAACAATACGAAGAAAGTTCTAAAAACTAGCTGCCCTACGTCACTCACCTTGTGCGATCAAGCTTGTCGGCGCCAGTAATTTCCATACAAAACAGGGTAAAAAGATAAAGCTCTCGACGATGATCAATCCCTAAAGGATGCGTCATGCATTCGACTTCATCGAGCACCCTTTGGAGGTTATTGAATGCACATCTAGCCTTTATAATAACTCACGGTGGCCTGCCGATGTATCGAGCCAGTGCTGCTATCCTCCCAGACAAGTCTGGTACCAATTTCACGACCCGGGAGGGATGGAAGGCTTAGCGAACCTGGGCAGTGGAAATCAGACCCGTGTATATTTCAGGGCGTCTACGAACGCTACACATGTTCTATTTTAATATAAATTAAGCAATAACATAAAACTCTCACCTATGCGAGAAAGTAGAGAACCCTGTAGGCTTAGGAATAAACTTGCGGGCTGCCTCTTGTGACATAACTTGTTGAAACTGGGAGACAATTAAATTAGATACAGTAAAAATTGCAAATAAAGGAGACATGGTAAAGCTCCCGGCGTTGATCAGTTCCTGAAGGAGGCGCAATGCATTCGACTTCATCAAGCAACCTTGGAAGTGATTGAATGCATATCTGGCTTTTACAATGACTCGCGACGGCCCACCGACGTATCGAGCCAGTGCTGCTACCCTTCCAAACAGGTTTGGTACCAATCTGCCGACCCCGAAGCGATGGAAGGCTAGGTGGGCCAGAGGCGCGAAAATGGATGCCATATGTGTCATGCAGAGCGCGTCCGACCACTACGCCACATGCTCCAAAAATTGGAAAAATTGCAGAGAATAGATAATAATTTAAAAACATTGGTGCAATTAAAGCACAAAACCCGACAAGTTGGCTGAAATACGTCCACAGTTTATTTTTATAGTTTACAGTTCATATACGATTAAAGCACAAGCAAAGCGTCAAAACGACGTTTTTTCTTATGACGTCATCACAAAAACATCAAAAAAAGACTAACAAAGAGAAAACCAAAGCGTGAATGTGAATTCCAGGAAACTATTTCTTCGCAAAACTATTCTGAAATGCTCCAATCCCTTGTCGTGGTTTAGCAATTGGGGATTCCCATATAGCGGATGAACCTCGGCGCGGATACGTCTTAGATTTACCGAAAATCAATGCGAGATCCGGCTGTAATTAATGTGGTAGAAAACTGATTAATCGTCTTAAACTTACTCATTAATAACATCTTGTAACTTTTCGATGAAGACACAACTTACTGCTTCAACCTCCCCGAAATATTCACTAAGATCAAATTCCCCTGAGCGAAGTATGGCAGCCTGTCTTCGCAGTTCGCATTGAAACTCCTTTCCTACTGCCCATGATGGAACTTTTTTACGTGGAGCCTCCTTAAAATCGTTTATCAAGTGTTGAGCAGAATATGAAGACTGTAGTGAGCACCTGAAATCTCACCTCTTGGTCCGTCTCGTCACCACTCGAAAGATCATCTATACCGTAGTTATTTTCACTTGAAGGTTTGTGTACTTTACCAGGTGTGATCTCATACGAAGAATGACGAGACGCTAACTTGTAGTTCACATTTGAAGTCTGAGAAAAACGCTTCATTACAATTACATTTCGCCGAACTTATAGATGGCATAAATATTTTTAAGAGGAGATCAAAGATTCCCTCTTCATAGATTTACGTCTAAGCGACAAATACTGAGATCTTACGTTAATAATGACGTTATCAAGATGACGATTGTGCAGCTTCACAGGTAAGCTTGTGTTCAGACACTGTACCATGTTTTCCTGCTCCTCAGTGCATAGCGGTTTCTCCTCCTCCTCGTTTACTTCCGGATGTTCCTTGTTTTGGTGAACTCGGTGATCTCCCAACTCCCTCCACTCCCCATCACCCTTATCAAAATCTTCTAGCAATACCTCGACAACCTCGCCCTTCTTCATTAACAAAACATCTTCACTATCTTGTGTATCATCAGTACTTGACATTCCATTTCCTTCTTTTTGGAGCAAACAGCTCTTGTTTTGCTCATATATGAAACTCTTTTCTTCTTCTTTAGGTACGGTGGTCTGTGCCTCACTTTCTGTATCAATATTATACAGTTTCTTCCTAACTAAGCCTTGTTGCTCATCGAAAACCTTGACTCGACGCCGCTCTTCCTCACGAAGCCTAAAACAGAATCGACAAAGATCAAAACAGCAGGAAAAAGACACTACACAATAAAAACAACTTCTAAGAAACCTTTCTTGTCGCTCTTGCTCCTTTCGCATAATTCGATTTCGCTCCTCCCTGGAAAAGGCTTGACGATTGCTCACGTCCCTTCCAGGTGAAATCTCAAGAAAAGCAAATTCTAACAGATTTGAATAAGCAAAGTATATATCTCACACACATACATACGTATGTATATATACATGTCTACATGTACATATGTTAGCACATATGTCTGTATACATATGCGTACGTATATATTATATATATGTATATATATATTATATATAAATATATATACATACATTTATACCTACGTACATACACATGTAGTTCAAATGAGGTACTAGTTCAAAGGTTCACGGCTCATTATAGTGCATTACATAATATCCATATTGTCTTTCAGTTAGTGGGTTCATATACCTCGTAGAACCTCCTCCTTCGCTGAACAACATTTTTGAATCAGGATCCACTCACTAACTGGAAGACTTGACATGAATACGGCGTAATAAAGTATAATGAACTGTGAACCTTTGAACCAACACGAACATTTTAAAAATAAAGAAATACGCATATACATGTGTAATTACGGAAAAGCCTCAAGTCTAAAAATACTGAAACTAACACGGTCACTTCCCACAGAGTCTTCACTACTCGTACACACTTTCTTTTCCAAGCACTGTTTTCGTTTCGCCTCTCGCGAAGGCTAAAGGGTAGAAATATAGTATGGTTTTGAAAGCAGAATATTAAGCAGAAAATATTCCGAAAACCTCTTAAAAACATTGAGGTACGTTGTCGACAAACAATCAACTACAAATTACATTGAAGAATTTACTGTATTCATCGTAGGCTCTCTCGTAGTACCGCCTCCCGGACTGAACAACATCTTTGCCAATTTCGCAGAAGAACGACCAGGTGTGCAAGGAAACAGAACCTAGAACTAGGGATCACTAACTTGAAGACTTGATAGAGATAGTGCATAATGCACTGTAATTAACTGTGAACCTTTGAACCGACATGAACATTGACATTTGCGTTTACTCCAGCTACTCTCGCAGGACTTACAACACCAGAAGTAGCCTTGCATCGCCTAAATATTTATCTACCATGCAGCATAAATTAGAAGGATCATTGGTGTAGAAAGCGACACAAGAAGTGGACAAATTAAAAATAAAAACAATAGACATTAAATATTTTAACCGCACCCTTCAAGAATAATATTTCCCATTTTCAAATAAAAAAAAAGAAGAATCACAGAGAAAGCTCACGTGGGACTTTTCTGCAGTCTAAGCTTCTCCCTCCTCCGCTCATCTCTAATCTCCTTTTGCTTCCTTGCTTCAGCTTTAAGTCGTTCTTCGATTTCTCGTTGTTCACGGCGACGTTGTGCCTGCATTAAAATGCTGGTTAGAAATTATTTTTTTTTACGTATTTTGCAATAACTAACTATTAAGAATAAGTCACATGCAATTAACAAGTGTTTAAGATAAATCAAGGGTTTAATGCGGTTGAAAGTTGAAGTTGAAATAAGGTTGTACAAGGGAAGGAATGGGTGAGGCAAAGAAGATGTCGACGTCGACGCTGCACTCATAATGTGAGAAAGTGCGTAGATATTTGCAAAACTCCGGACTAGAAGTGCTGATGGCACTGGTAGATAGAAAACAATCCGAGAAACAGACGAAACGAAAGACCCACATGGTGTGGTGGTGAACGCGTTAGCCCCCGGGAAGAGTAATAGCGCGTTCGTTCACACCGGATCTTTGTAAATATCTTAGCATCGTTATGGCTGTCTTTCACATCACACAATGCCGTGAAAAATTGTAGCACGCAACAAATGAGAAGCTAACAAAATGGACAAATACCACCATTATTACAATTCAATGGTGCTCTGCAAACGTGCTACAACTTAGTACAGTAATCAAAGATATACCCCTTTATTTATTTAAGTCTGCAATGGTCTGAACATACTGTAACAAAGCTCACTTCCAAATATCTTTACTTCAGACCATCTATTACTCCTTCGGTCAGAAAGCGGTAAATCGTCGAATATTGTTTTAGGTTTATATATTCTATTTCTTACACTGCTAACACAAAGAATTCATCACAGTACTTGGAATCTTGGATTCTTGGACTGCTACTCCTCACTAGTTGCCCAGGCTCCAGCATAATCTTCATTGTTTCGGACGTCTCCTGGTCCAACCACTGTAGTTCCCTGGAGTCCCATAGTTAGCTTGGCCAAAGTCTGCCCCAGGTTGTCACCACCACCTGCAGTCGCCGCTCTTGTAGATTAGAGAGAGATTTTCCACCATGCGACCAGTTTGATACTAGGACAGTGGCAGATCCTGGTATTGCTTTGCTCTTATTTTGGCTTATTGTTGGAAACGCCGGACTCAGCTTGGGAGGCCCTGCCAGGGGATGAATCCCTCACTGTACATCGCAACCCTACACCAGGGAACACCTCCAAGCTACAATGAGGCGGTAAACCGTTAGGAGTATCCGTCACAGTAATATATCTAAAATAAACTAAACAGTTAGTTACGAGCTCCATGGTTTGAAAAGCCAAGTCTATAATGTGACTTCAACAACAGCAACATGAACTGAATCCTCCATCAACGACGCAGAAATGTTCACTACAATAGTGAACAAATCACAAAATAACTTCATAAAATCGAAACATAAAAGGTGAAACATACCCTAAGCGCTTTCTCTTCACGTTCCTTACGCACGCGCTCGGCCCTTTCTCTGCATTGCTCTTCTCTCAACTGAGCTGCTAGTTCTTCTTTTTCACGCCGTAGTGCAACTTTTACGTTTGAATGAGGCTAAAAGTTGACACTTCTGCAATGAACGAATGAGGAATGAACTAAGAAATTCTCGCCAACCGTTCTTGGATATGACAAGGCTGCTACTGGGACATTAGACACCCCATGGTCTAATCGAGTTGGTGTTGGCACAAGTCCACGGTTTGCCGAATTCCTCATCAAGTCCTAATAGAACCATTTTATAAATTGACAAATGATGAAGAAGCGATAACCAGTTTGAGTGGTAGCATTGTGATGACTTACCTGCTCAATCACAACGCGCTGCACTGCTTCTTTATATTCTCGTTTACATGGAGTTGTAACTCCATGTTGATGGACAGCTCGCCGTAACCGTGTTTGTGGTAGTCCAGCACGTTTATTTCTGTGAGAAGATTGAAAAAAAAAGAAAGAAGTATGAAAATCAACGCAGGAACGAAAACGTACAACTCTTTTTGCAGTTCAGCCACAGTGGAAAGCAACTGCCGCTGCCTTAATCTTCCTGATTTAACAGGTTGAGCCTTTGATTTCTGAAATTTCCAACTGAAAATCTACTCAGAAAAGCATCTAAGCGCTGATATTTCCACGCTGTCATTATTGACTGACTGCATCTTCACTCAATTCTTAAAGCACGTAGAAATAACAGTTAGTGTGGTGCTGTACTCGCCAAATAATCACAAGCGCTGATACCATACATATCATACTGTGCGGATCCCAGTACATCTTGCATTCCACTTGTCTCTTTGCATCCATCGTTCACGAAGATCTTTGGGCTTTTCGTGTCTCGATACGGTTGCAATTTGAGAATTTATCGTCTTTGCCGTGAAACTCGTTGAATGCTGTCGAGTAGATTCCTCTTGTTGTCCTGATATAGGCCTGCTGAGGAGTTCCCGCACATAGCTTAGAGAGAATCTTCTCCGAGATAGTTCTGGTACCGATTCTCCGATCCCAGGGGATGAGCGGTTTGGAGGCCCCTCTGCGGATTGAAACTAGCTCTTAAGTTCTTTGTGCAGTGAACGGTATCACTATCACTGCGCTGCGAACTCCACTATACGAAAAATAGGAAAACAGGTAGCAATGTAATATCAGCGGCCTACCTCAACTTTAGCAGCCTTCTCCCTTACAGCTGAACGTGTAACCTAAAAAACTCTTAACAATTTATGTACAACGCAGGTAGCCAACATGACTTATTATTAGCTTACTACCTTGCGATCTGCTTCTAACATCGCATCAGAAACAGTGGATGTCGTGGTAAGTTTACTTAAAGAAAATACTTCTTCCTTTACATGAATACCCTTAAAAATAAAATGATTGAAAAAAAAAACTAAGCACATGCAATAATTACTTCCACATCGAGAGCTTTTAGCACCCAACGACTTCTTAGTATCGAATGCTGAATAAAACGTTATTAGTTTCACACTAGTCTCCCAACGGTTTACCGCCTCATCGTGGCTGGGAGGTGTTCCTGGGTGTCGGACTGCGATGTACGGCGGGGAGATTCGTCGTCCTCCGGCAGGGTCTCCCAAGCTGAGAACGAGTCCGGCGTTTCCATCAGGAAGCCTAGCTAAGAGTAAACAAATGCTGGGATCCACCACCGTCCTCGTATCAAAGTCACATGGTGGTAAATCTCCCTCTGATCCACAAGGGCCGCGACTGCCTGTGGTGATGAAGACCTGGGGCAGACTTTGGTCAGGCTGACCTCGAGATTCCAGAGAACCACAATGGCTTAACCAGCTAATCTCCGAAAAATGGTGATTATGCTGTGGGGCCCGCACAACTAGTGAGGACGGGCGATTCAAATCTCAAGTGTCAAGAACACATGGGTAGTTATAACCTCAGCAGATAAAACTATGGAAAACCGCTGAGATGTTGATTTCACTACATTAAATATATTATTACTATATTAAATGAGGCTGTATCTATGTCTCGCTAGAACATATAAATTCAATAAGAACATTCCAAGAATATAACATTACTCCTTGGTCAAGGTGAAGTGTATTGACGTCTGAGCAATATTCGGACGTGATACATCCGATAGGAGGCGGATAGTCCCGTGGTAGTGATGGCGGCCATCACGAGCATGGTGATGTCTCGATCCCTGTCCGAGCTCATCAAGTATCTCATCGCTCCGGGGTTGGGAAACTGGTGCTGGACTTGTCCGGGAAAGAAGCACTCTGCAATTCAGGTAGGAACGCTCCAAATCGGCTATCTCAGGACTTTAGAGAGAATCGACTCAACCAGCGTTCTACGACATTCAAGGTGAAATTAAA